GAGAGAGACAGAGAGAGAGAGAGAGAGAGAGAGAGAGAAGAGAGAGAGAGAGAGAGAGAGAGAGAGAGAGAGAGAGAGAGATAGAGAGAGAGAGTTGGGCCGGGGAGGAGGCTGTATAATATAATAACATTAACATATCTGACTAACCTTTCCTTTACACGACGGCGCAATACCGCACGGCGGCTCTGTCACCTCCGGATACTGGCACGTCTTCGTGATGTCATCAAAGACCCTGCCTTCTGGACAGGGGTCAATCCTGGAGACATACCCCATCCTGCAAGTGAGACTGGCCATACAGTTGACCATGAGATCGGAGTAGGTACCGTCGCTCCTGGTCTGGCACGGGTTTGGTTGCAGCCCGCACGGAGATGGGAGCTGTAGACTTTGGTCACATGACTTGGTCGTTGGGTTGAAAGATCCGAGCGGACATTTGAGGTAGGCGCTGAGGTGCTGAAGCTTGCACTGGTAGTACAGAGAACACCTGCCGTAAGGGTCAGCGTAGAAGCCGTCCTCCCGGCCTCTGCAAAGTTTAACGGGGATATCAGAGGCCGCCACAGTACCGCAAGGAGGGATGTTGGGTTTGAGCTCACAGCTGATCGTCTCGGGATTGAACATGGAACCTTCTGGACACTGAGCTGAGCCCTTGTACGCCTCGTCCTCGCAGCGGAAGAAACTGTGGCAGACACCTGTCTCGTCCGGGTGGTAGCCGTCTGGTCTGCCTAGGCACATCGGCTAAAAGGTAAAAAGGTTGGATCTCTTTGTTAATTGTTATTGCCATTTTTCATTCATTCATTCATTCATTCATTCATTCATTCATTCATTCATTCATTCATGTATTCATGCATTCATTTATCCATTAATTAATTACTTGGGGGGGGGGGGTAGGAGATGAAGACTTGGACAATTGGAGAGTTGCTGTGTTGTAGAGAAACATCAGAAAATTCCCCTCCGGAGCAGACCATTGGACAATACCAAGATTAATTATAAAAAGAAGTAGGAAGAACAGGCTACATAAGTGCACATATCAGCCAACGATTTGTGGTGGCTGAAGAATGCAAACTCACAGCGCAGGCGATTTCTTTTGCTCTCTGAATTATATAAAGCTGGTCATAATTATAACATGGAAGTAAGTTATAATAAAGGTGTACTCTCTAAAAACAGCAGGTAAACAAACAAAACATAAGCAACAACAACAACAACAACAACAACAACAACAACAACAACAAAATCTGCAAACAATAATTTAAAAAAAGCAAACCGACAGCCATGACCTTCTGAAATTGCAGATCTCAAAGTCAGGAGACACGTTTTTGATTGATTGATTGATTGATTGATTGATTGATTGATTGATTGATTGATTGATTGATTGATTCATTCATTCATTCATTCATTTATTCATTCAGTTAAGCGGTTTCTACATTTATTTGCTTATCTGTCATTCCCCACACTACCCACATACCTGTACCCCTCCGTATCTTTTCGGCACGAGATCGGAAGTGACGCAAGAGCGAACCGTGGGTGAGAAAATGGGCGCCCCGTTCTGACAGTTGCCCTGCTCCATGGTGCGTCCATCTTTGCAGACGACAAACCAAGGTGTCCACTCCCGCCCCGGGAATGGGTGCACGCCATCTTCGAGGTCCTCACAACTGGCCAGTCGGACCTGGCAACTTCTACAGTGAGGCTGACTGCACGAGTGTTCTCGATACGCGCCTTCGGAATGAGGACAGGTGGAAAGAGAAGGGGGGAAAAGAAAGGTAAACTGTCAAAAAAGATATACATGTACCTGTATGTGGACAGCGGGTCACTAGTTTCAGAATTCATATATTTCGTCGTAGCTTTTCTCAGAGGTCGTGGTATCACAGTCCTCCTCCTCTTCCTCCTCTTCTTTCATCAATAATTTATATATAGAGGTACCAGCCATCCAGGTCTAGGTCCTGTTTTAACCACTTCTTCTTCCTCTTCAAATGCTTCCTCTTCATATTATTCCGTATGCTCTTCATCTTCGACCCTCCTCTCCCTTCACCCTCCACCATCTCTTCCTCCTCCTTTGTTTCCATCACTCTTTCTGTCCTGATTCTCCATCTCCTCCTCCTCCCCCTCCTCCTCCTCCTCCTCCTCATCACCATCATCATCATCATCATCATCATCATCATCATCAAAGACGTGAATAGAAAACAAATTGTGTGAAT